ATTATGCGATACGATGTCAATCACGTGATCAATAATAAATATGATTTTTAATTTAGGCCAGTTCAAGATCTATCGAATTATATTGTTTGCTTGTGACATGCATCATATGAAAATTGATCGATTGGAGTCACAATTAGTTTTTTTTATTAGGATCTATGTAACAAATTTGCACTGGCAGTTAACCCTGTATACCGTCCCCCCCCGAAGGGCTAGAGCTAGTCGCCACTTTCACGGATATTATCGGATCAACCAGTCTTTATATATATAATAATAGAATATTTACATGTTCGATATGTTTGGTGATGATATTCACATGAATTAAGAAAAATGTTTAATTGTTTTAGCAAAATATATAATATGTATATAAAAAAACTTGCAAAGAACAAACAAAAATCATTTTTTTATAACTATTGTTAACAATAAACCGCCCAACTAACTTTAATTGGGAAGGGGGTTTTTAAGTACTGCCATAAAATTTTGAGCGACCAGTGTTTGTAGATTTAGATGGTTGACGCTCCGGATCTCTGATATGAGCAGATCTAACAAGTCCTTCATATTCATTTCTGTAATCTTGATCGGTTGGAGGATGATTTGGCAAGCTTTTGAGTAAAATAAATGAAGCAAGAAGTGCAAGCACCTAAAAACATGATAAATGAAAAAATTTTTTATATTAATATCCTTCCACAAGCCCACATAACCTTCGATTAACTTTTTTACCTGAACGATTGCCAAAATCAATCCTAAAATACCCAAGGCCGTTTGATTACTTCTATAAACATTAGTCAGACTAGCCAAACAAGATTGATCATAACCAAACCATGGATTTTTTTCACATGCGTCAGGCGATGATTTAGGAATTGCACGATCTGTTGTATTTCTAAATCCACAACAGAAATACTAAATGTGTATGGCATTCACACAAAAAAATTTATATATTTAATTTAAAAATTTAATTAAATCAATTGATTAGTTGCTCTTTCTTTACCTTATGTTCAATATCACGTATAAGACCTGGTTGATCTACGTACGCTTTATCCCATGCTCTATCAAGAATATTCTCCACCTAATAATTGATCAAAAGTGAACGAATTAGCAAATTAACGAAAGATGAAAAAAGCATAGAATATTGAAGGTAAATTAAATAATTACATTTCTAGCATTAGAAAACATAATGATTGCAATGCTGACTTGAGCTATTATTAGAACTGTAAGAGTTATAAAGTACTGATTTATAATAACATTAATTTAATGATCGTTAAGGAAATAACAATTTCTTTTAAAGAAAAAATTTCATCAGATTAGATAAAAAAGGATACAGCAATTAAAACTTGTTTGTGTTCAATAACAGCACCACAACATCCAATCATAGAAATCAAAAGAACAAACAATCCAAGAATAAAGGATGCAAGAGGTATTGCGTAAGAAGCAAAATGTACATCAGTTGCAATCATTCCATAAATACTTGCACCAATCAAAATTAATGCAGAAATCTGAGCGAAATAAAATAGGGAAATAATTAATCCAACTTGAATATTATAGTCCGAAAGAGTACGACCGTCTTCTAATTGTTTTCCGGCAAAAATTAATCTTTGCTGATCTGGTGGAATACCCTCCTTGTCTTGGATTTTTTGTTTTACGGCATCGATGGTATCAGTGGATTCGACTTCAAGTGTTATTGTTTTACCAGTAAGTGTTTTGACAAAAATTTGCATACCACCACGAAGACGAAGAACCAAGTGAAGGGTAGATTCTTTTTGAATATTATAGTCCGAAAGAGTACGACCGTCTTCTAATTGTTTTCCGGCAAAAATTAATCTTTGCTGATCTGGTGGGATACCTTCTTTGTCTTGGATTTTTTGTTTTACAGCGTCAATGGTGTCTGATGATTCGACTTCGAGAGTGATTGTTTTACCAGTGAGTGTTTTAACGAATATTTGCATTTTGTTTTAGTAGTAATAATATTTTTTTTTAATAATAATAATTTTATTTTTATTTGAAAAATGGTAGAAGTTACGATTATAATATTTTTTTGACTGAAAAAGAATAATAATAATAATGAAAAAAAAAAAAGTAATTTTGATGTTCTTTTTATATGATTGTGATGAAATTACATAAAATGGCGTGATTTTGGATAAAAAAGAAATTTTCGTGATTGCGAGAAAAAAATAAACTAGTTTTTAAACCAATTAACGTCTCGTAAAACAAAATTGATCTAACCGTGAATGGATGGCTTTCGCAAATACATTAAAAATACAGGGGTTACACATTGAGCAGCTGATCGATCAATTATGCAGGATATTATCGGATCAACCAGTCTTTATATATATAATAATAGAATATTTACATGTTCGATATGTTTGGTGATGATATTCACATGAATTAAGAAAAATGTTTAATTGTTTTAGCAAAATATATAATATGTATATAAAAAAACTTGCAAAGAACAAACAAAAATCATTTTTTTATAACTATTGTTAACAATAAACCGCCCAACTAACTTTAATTGGGAAGGGGGTTTTTAAGTACTGCCATAAAATTTTGAGCGACCAGTGTTTGTAGATTTAGATGGTTGACGCTCCGGATCTCTGATATGAGCAGATCTAACAAGTCCTTCATATTCATTTCTGTAATCTTGATCGGTTGGAGGATGATTTGGCAAGCTTTTGAGTAAAATAAATGAAGCAAGAAGTGCAAGCACCTAAAAACATGATAAATGAAAAAATTTTTTATATTAATATCCTTCCACAAGTTAATATAATAATAACACATTCGTCCTTCGATTAACTTTTTTACCTGAACGATTGCCAAAATCAATCCTAAAATACCCAAGGCCGTTTGATTACTTCTATAAACATTAGTCAGACTAGCCAAACAAGATTGATCATAACCAAACCATGGATTTTTTTCACATGCGTCAGGCGATGATTTAGGAATTGCACGATCTGTTGTATTTCTAAATCCACAACAGAAATACTAAATGTGTATGGCATTCACACAAAAAAATTTATATATTTAATTTAAAAATTTAATTAAATCAATTGATTAGTTGCTCTTTCTTTACCTTATGTTCAATATCACGTATAAGACCTGGTTGATCTACGTACGCTTTATCCCATGCTCTATCAAGAATATTCTCCACCTAATAATTGATCAAAAGTGAACGAATTAGCAAATTAACGAAAGATGAAAAAAGCATAGAATATTGAAGGTAAATTAAATAATTACATTTCTAGCATTAGAAAACATAATGATTGCAATGCTGACTTGAGCTATTATTAGAACTGTAAGAGTTATAAAGTACTGATTTATAATAACATTAATTTAATGATCGTTAAGGAAATAACAATTTCTTTTAAAGAAAAAATTTCATCAGATTAGATAAAAAAGGATACAGCAATTAAAACTTGTTTGTGTTCAATAACAGCACCACAACATCCAATCATAGAAATCAAAAGAACAAACAATCCAAGAATAAAGGATGCAAGAGGTATTGCGTAAGAAGCAAAATGTACATCAGTTGCAATCATTCCATAAATACTTGCACCAATCAAAATTAATGCAGAAATCTGAGCGAAATAAAATAGGGAAATAATTAATCCAACTAGCAATCAAAAGAAATAAAAATCAAAAAAGGAATAATAATTAGAATACTGACAGATGATAAAGTATTTGCCAATATCACGATCGCTCTTCCTGTTTCAACTGTTACAGCCATTTTTTATGTTTTTAAATTTTAAATTTTGAATTATTGAATTATCGAATTGAATGAAAATTTTTTCAAGTATTTATAGAAAAAGTCTCAAGATGGAGAGAGCGAAAGTGGAGAGAAATAAAAATATATATTTATTCACACGTACACTAATTAATTTTTATTATTATGTCGTATTTATTTATTATTTCTGACAAAAAAATTAAAATGACGTTTGAAATTTTTGCCTTTATTAAATTATGGTCTAGCGCATTCCGTAATTATCTCATCCTTACATCATAAATTTATGTGCACACTACACAAAACTGTGCAGAAGAATTATAAATTCTAGAAATGGAAAAATTAATTAACTTGCTTGCTCCTCTTACATGATGATGTCACAAGAGGTCACATGAGTCAAAATTTGATGGAATACTGGTGTATATAAAAATGAAACCTGAAACTTTTTATAATTGAAATAATAATCTGATTATCTTTAAATGTATTATTTTTGCGGTTCATGTTCAGTAATTACTATAAAAAATGAGTTGGTGCAAAGAGAAGTTCGTTACGGCGCGATTTTACTTAATATAAAGGCGTATCGTGGAAAGGGCAAATTGCGTTTATTTAATAAATATCATTTATTATAAAATAATTAATTGATAATTATAGTGGGATTAATTGATCATATATTGACAATTCCAGTTTCGGCCTCAACTTTATCAGTATTATAAAATTATAATTATTATAACCTTTCAATTCTTTAATTTGCTTGAAGGATATGATATGTTTATTAATAAAAAAATTTAATAGTTGATATTTTAGTTTTCCTCGCATATTTTCAATATATCTGATTCTTTGATATTTTCTTTTTCTTGTAAATTTAGGTGCAATGTACGGCATGATTTCATAAGTTTTATTCGATGACTTATAATCAATCAAACTGGTCCACATAATTCTGAATAACAACAATTGCCACTTTCTACTTATATACTTATTACATTTTTTTTAATGGTCAAATTAGAATGCCTACTTTAAAATAATCTAACAAGTCAAAATGAGAAAATTTGGCAAAGTTGGAAAATAGACCCTTGATGTTTTTAATCAGTGCCTCCTTTCCGTGTAGCATAGTAGTTCCGTCGCCTTGTCATCCAAGTGGTAGTGAAAAGGTTTTGTGGTCAAGCCACGTTTCTTCCCAATTGTATACAATTATAAATCATATATACATGGATTTCCTTAACAATCATTTCTGAAAATAAAATGAGTAACATTAAATCTAACATTAGAAGTATTCTTCTACGACTATGCAAATGCGTCTTGTTGTCCTAAAACAACTATGTATTTTTAAAATCTCAAAATTTTTAAGAAGTTTATTAATTTTCAATTGGACTTGGGCTGGAAATCGGACAAGACAAGTCTAATTGACGCATTACCATGCTAGACTGTCCAATATGCCAACTAAATACACTTGGTGGACAAAAGTTTGCGTCCAAAATTTCTTTTGAGAGCTATACTAATTAAAATATTGTAAGCTTATATCATTCGAAAACTCTTGTGTTTGTGACATTAAATTTTGAAGTTTTGTCATAAAAAAAAAGACAAAAATAAAAAAATAAAAAATGTTGATAGATAAAAGGCTTGTTTTTAATCAAGTTGGCCAACCATTGTTGGCAATGCAATATTCAACTCTTCTGGACTGTCACGAACATATTTTCAAGAACAAGAGCTTTTGAATGATATAAAGATTACAATATTTTAATTAGTATAGTTTTGAAATAAGAAATTTTGAATACGAACTTTTGTCCACCAAGTGTATGTTGAAAATAAATTTTTGAATAAAAAAAAGGTAAAATTAGAAAAATGGGAAAGTTTAATGTTTGCAATATGAGAACATAACATCAAATATAGCTGAGGAAGAAAGAACAGTTCCTGTTCTACATTTTCAAGTATTATTTTTTTTTTTTTGGTAATTCAAAAGAAATTAAATTGCAAAACTATAAGTTATTCAAACATAAAAATTGAGATAATGGTTTTAGGCAGATATTGTTCTTTTTTTTATTTTTTAAATGATAAATTATCAAGAATGTCGTATTATTAATAATAATTATATTGTATATACAGCATTGTATTAATATTGGTTAAATGTTATGCGACCATCAAAATCAAAATACCTATTTGATATTACTAATATTATTACTAATGGTTATGGGCAATTATTGTATATATAGCATCGTATTAATGTTTGATTTCTCCTATGGTCAAATGACAAAAATATTCTAGTTGGTATTGCTAATGGGTAATATTACGTACTGTTAACAATAAATTCTTATGTATTAATGTTTGTTTGTGGTTAAACGATGGATTACTATTTACCCGGCCATCAAAAATATTATTACTAATATTACTAATGGCAACAGGTAATGATTGGTATTGTTTTCTTCTATGGTTGGTTGAACGACCGATGTTTGTTACACGACCATCAAAGAAAAAAATTTAACATCAGTATCAAAGTTGGCATTATTATATTAGTAAATTTTGTTGCTACTATTAAATATAAATTTTCTATTATTCCATATTAATTTTAATATGGTTCATAAAAATAAAAATTCTGTTATTTGCATTTTTCCACAAAAATCACCCGCGATTGCTAATTTTAATTTAATTTCTAAATATTAATATGCCTAGCCTGCAATAAAAATTTAAAATATGCTGCGGTTGCGGTTGATTTTTGCGAAAAAATACACGATTATAAGGAATCATTAAGCCTAAAAAATTACTAATGATATTGGACTGTAGCCGATACATATCCGTGAAAGTGGCGACTAGCTCTAGCCCTTCGGGGGGGACGGTATACAGGGTTAACTGCCAGTGCAAATTTGTTACATAGATCCTAATAAAAAAAACTAATTGTGACTCCAATCGATCAATTTTCATATGATGCATGTCACAAGCAAACAATATAATTCGATAGATCTTGAACTGGCCTAAATTAAAAATCATATTTATTATTGATCACGTGATTGACATCGTATCGCATAATTAAATTTACTTTTGAAATTTGGCACCTTCTATATAAAGTGGGAAAAATTTAGGTGGAAAGATATCACGCGAAATTAATTAGTTTTGACCGATGAAAATTTATTTTTTATTAATTTAAGGTATAAATAGTGGTTGTGTTTTTAATAGAGTGCCCAGAAACATGCATTGCATGGTCGCGTCATATAAAAATTATTGCGACACCTGCCTTTGTGACCACTTTTTTCCTTTTTTTTTGGATTGCGACATGGAACACTAATCATTTGCATTTGTTTCTTTTTGGATTAACTTGATTTTATTAATCACTTGAATTTTCAAAAGATTTTAATTGAAAAAGAAACCGTCAAGGAAGAAGCAACAGAAATAAAAAGGGGGACAAAGACCATGAAAAAGAAAACAATAGCTAAAAGACATTGGAGAAGTGATGTGAGTGGACAAGTAAAATTTGATCAATAAAGAACTTATTGAAGCAGGATAATTTCCCATGATTGCTTTAAAAGATCAAGCTTTAGAGGAAGCTTTACTGCCAGTTTTTGATGAAAATATTGAACTATTCAATATAAGGAAATGTATTTATCAAAATTTATCCACGAAACTAAAAAATTATTAGACCCTTTATTTACTCACTTTTAGATTTAATTAACCCTGAACTGTTCAATCAAGGAGGATAAACATCATTATCGATTTTGTTCCCTTAATTTGGTCTTATTGACTTTGTTACTAGCTCGAAAAATGTAAGTGTTATCGGGAAAATGTAAGCGTTAAAACAAATGACAATTTTGCAATGATATAGGTGATAGTAAAGTTGCGATGTCAAACATTTTGATTCTTGAATCTTTATAATAATATAGTAATGTTCACCTTGTTGCCTCAATTAATAAAAACTGATTATCTAAATCTTTTGAAATGCATTAATCATCTTACACAACAATAATGACCGTCTTGGCTATTTTGGCCAATGTACGATAATTTTATAATTATTTAAATTTTGGCCGTTTTTCCATGACCAAATGCTAACTATATTGAGTTGTTTGTTGTGTGTGAAAATGGAAATTTATGTGAATTTGCAATTAACGTAAAATTCAATTAGCCAATCAGAATTTCGTATCCAAACACCCCACCCCAAAATTTCAAATAACAAATTTTTTTCATAAATATATACTTCTTTGGAAACTTGACATGATTTCTTTTTTGTCTTCTATTCAGTTTCGTAACATTTATTTGTTACTTTTCAGTGGAATTGGTAGTCGGTGGTTCTTCTTCCATATAACCTTTTATAAATAAAATTAATAAAAACGATCTAATTTTTAATTGACCCGGTTAAAAAAATTAACCGTTTATTTAAATAGTACTAGTATATCAGCGCGCAGTATGTTCACGCATCGACACTAAAGTTTCAACTAGTACAAATTTAGAAAACCTCACTATATCGAGTAGCATACTGTGGATTTCGAATTGATCACGTAAGGAGTATATATATACCATTTTTGGTATGACATGCAGCATTAATGTGACTATCTTATCCTAAACAGGCTGATTGGGGTATAAACTTTAAGACCTCCTCCCTCTCTAATTATATCTTCCATACTAATACTATAAATATCATCTAATAATATTACCAAATATAGTAAGTATAAATAAAGATAACCTTTTGTTATATATCAAAATAATCCCCCTAATTTCTAACCAATGAAAATCAATCAATTCAATTCGTTCATACATTTTACTAAAAATCTTTAGAAAAAATCATAAAAAAAAAAATCCCAAATGCCAAGATGTTGAATTCCATATTTACTGTTTTACAAAGATAAAAATAAAAAGATAATGACACTAGACATTTTTTATTGAGAGAATGAAAAATGATTGATTGTTACACTAGTGATAAAATTGTCTCTTCTTTTTTTTTATTTATTAGGAAAGGAAAAACAAAAAAGTTAGTTGCTTAAAATTCATCGTTAAAAATTTTTTTTACATAAAAATAATTTTGATAGAGAACAAATAAATGAACAATAAGAGTGGCGCCATATACATAAAAAAATTCGTCGTGTAACTAGTGCAAAATTAGAAAATCAATTATAGTAAAACGTTACACCAAATCCCCAACATACAATTTTTATAAATATTCTATTCTTGGGAATTGAAATTTAACTGTGTAAATTTGAAATTTCTATTCTCACTTAATTGTGTTACTTTTGTTTTATTTATAATATATACTTTTTACTTTTCTATTTAGTCCTATATATTCAATAAATTTTTTTTTCTTTTGAGAAAAAAGTCAAATAATAACCTTTTTTATTCAAAAAAAAAAAGTTTTTTTTTCTTTCTTTTTTTTCACCTCCTTTTCCTGTTTTATATTAGTATTTATATTAAATTTATATATTTCTCATATATTTAGAATACCATAGATTTTTTACTCCTTTGCATATATATATATGTTATAAAAAGTAAAATAAAATATAATAATTTACAAAACATCAATGGTTGCAATAAATTTATATAGGATATTTGAACTATCCACAGCGACAACAGCATGTGCTTTATTCATATTAAATAGTCTTTTATTTGTTAACTCACAATATGCAAATGAAGGTCAAAGCACATTAAACGATGTACAACCACTTAGAGCATGCAATGGAACAGATATTGATACAAGAGGTTATGATGGTTCTTGCAATAATATAAAAAGATCTAATTGGGGTGTACCGAATCGTGTGTTCGACCGTGTTTGGTTTGATCCCAAGTATGAAGATAATTTCACTGGAGCTCCATTTTTGAAAGTTGATTCTCGTATGATTTCAAATTTATTATCCGATGATGGTCTGCCAGTTGATTATGCCGGTAATCCGTTACAGGATGGTTTATTATCTGATGTAAGAAAATCAATGTTTGAAATTGTAAGTATATATATTTTTATTTTATTCTAATTTATTTTATTTTATTTTATTTATAAAAGTAACAATTAATTAATTATTCAATATTTTGTTTTACAAAAGTTCTTTGGACAATTTATTAACCATGACCTTGAAGATTCAGCTTTACAAAATGGTATACCAGGATATGCAATAGCAGACGTAACTCAAGATCCAATATTCAAAAATACAGCAGATAATCCATTTAATCCTAGTAAAACTCCATGTAAATATTATTATAATTATAATGATAATGATAATGATAATTATGATTATAGTAATTTGATAATAATTTTCTATTTTTACTTTACAGTTATGATGATAACCCTGTCATTGGGTCGTATACTTAACAACACATTTTTCCCAGCAAATACTGCTAACGCATACCTTGACCTATCTAACATATACGGTAATGACTCTACCATGAACACAGCACTTCGTGATCCAAATGGTCGTGGTTTAATGCTTCTCGAGGATTATAAAACAGACGGTGGTGCATATAATACAAAATTAGTAAATGTGACGGTTAAGCAAATGCCTCCAAGTCCTCTTTCCACCGACATTTTTCCAAATCTCACTCCTCCTCCAATAAACGCATCTGACGCCATGGTTAGCGGTGACACCCGTTGTTCTGAAAATATTCAATTATGTATAATGCACGCAATTTGGATAAGGGAACATAATTTTTGGGCAAAAAAATTATTAGCTGAAAATCCTACTTGGGACGACACAACATTATTTGAAAATGCTAGGCGTGCAACAATTGCCGAGTATCAAAACGTAATATTTTCAGAATACCTTCCTGCCATATTAGGTTTTAAAATGCCACCTTATTCTGGTTATGATGAAAATGTTTATGCCGATACCTCTGCAGTATTTGCCGGCGCTGCTTTCCGTTACGGTCATTCAAACATCCGACCTTATAATATTGTTGATGGATGTACTGGTAAACCAATTGTCATCCATCCCGACTACAGCTATCCAAATACTCACCCAAATCGTTTCATGTTTGTTGGCAAAACTTTTCCTGTCAGTCCTGTACCTGGTTCCACATTAACTCGTAAAGTGTTGGATTACACACCTGCTAGAATTTTGGCACTTGCGTCTGGGACGCATGGTGACGGTGTAGATAATGTTATTGTTAGCATGTTAAGAGAGCCAACTGCACAATTTGATTTAAAGATCACTAGTGCTCTAAGAAACATCCCTGGTGTCACCGATTTATTTGCAATTGATATTTCTAGAGGTAATATATATGTATATATATATATTAGATTTGTACGCGTTAAAATTTTTTCTTGCTCACACTTTTACTCTATCAATTTATCAAAACAGGTCGTTTTATGGGTCTTGCAGATTACAACACATATCGTACAGTATATCACCCAGCAGGAAGTGTCTACTCCAATGCAGCATGCGATATAAATGCAGCAACTGATTCTGTAGCATGTTTTCAATTAATTACTAAAGATGAGAAAGTTGCCACAAATCTTCAACAATTATATCAAAAAGTCAACGCAATGGACGCTATTGTTGGATTCTTTGCCGAGGACAGATTAGCCGTAACATCTCCACTACCGCCTACAATCACTAATATAATAAAGGATGAATTTGATAGAAAACGTATCAGTGATCGTTTCTGGTACGAGGGTACTACGTTCACCGATGCAGAAAAAGCTCAAATCAAAGCTACAACCATGAAGCAAATTATTGAAAGAACCACTGGTGTTAAAAATGTTCAAATTAATCCCTTCAAAGCACCTGTTGGTAATAATTTACCAACTGCATGTACAGCATAATTATTTATTTTTTTTTTAATTAGACAAAAAAGACTTAAAAAAAAACATTTTAATTAAACATTTTTCTTCCTTTTATTTAATTTTTAATGTACACACTTTTCTTCCTCCAAGAGTTTCTTTTCCGTAGTATATAAGTGCTAGACACATTATTGTAATATTACAAGTTTTGTTTACAAAAGAAAATAGATAATTTTATATTTATTGTTATTCTTAATTTTCTTATTATATTATATGTTATATATTGTAGTGATGGTTTTGGATATATTAATAAAAATAATTGTTGAAGATTTTAAATGGATGACTTTTATATATGTTTAATTTGAAAAAAAAAAAAATTTTGTTACATTATATAAATTTTTGTTTTTTGTTTTACATTTCTTCATCATCAATGTTTTCTTCAGGGAAATCACCAACTTTAACTTTATTTGGTCGAACAAATGCTCCATGTTTTGATGAACAGTTAAAGTATTTTTCACCTTGAACACTGTTCCCACCCCGAAAAATAAATTTTTTTTTTATACAAGTATTAGTGTTAATATACAATAAAAAACATTTAATTTATATATATATATATATATATATATATATACACATACGTTCCATCATGTTTACCAACAGGTTCATCATATTCAACACCGACCCAATAACCTGGTTTAAACTTTGTTTCTCCTATTATTAACATCAATAGTCATCATCATTCAATAATTACAGTAATAAAATAACTTTTTCCACTCTTTTTTACAACCTACCAACATATCTAACTGTTCCTCTTCTTTTCAAACCATCTTCACTCCCATCACCAAAATCAATTTCACAACGATCTCCCACTTTAATTGATTTTGCCTCTTCTTCATATGTATAAGTCGAATCTGAAGTTGTTGATTTTGCTTCATCTGAAAATCTTCCAAATTTATTACGTCGTTTAAATGCAAGTATAGAATCTTTTTTTTTTTTTTTTTTGATTATTATTGGTTAATTTTGATTGAGAATTAAATTCTTTAATTTGAATTTATCATACTATACTATACACAAGCATTTATATTATATATACCTGTACGTTTTTCATATTCATCATCTGGCAATTCATATTTTTCTACTTGAGACAAATCATTAAATTTTAGCTTATTACTATTAGGACTAGTATCAATAACCTATAATCAAATCGAATGAATAAATTACATTAACAAAAAAAATGATTTGCAAGTGGATCACTAATATATAAATCTTCCTAATGACTCCCTCTTGGGTTTCTTGTGGAATATAAATACATGTATGTGTAAGTTGTGTGTACCTTTAATGTCATATAATTGTCAATTGGAAAAGCTCCCAACATAAAATCATCTCCTTCAACAGTAGTGACAAGCGTGTCACCATTATAAAGTTGCAAGATTTGTGAACCAACCGATACACCAGTTATTGGTTCAAGTTTATTCTAATTAAAAAGAAAAAAAAAGAGTTTGGACGTGGATGATGTGTGCGTGAGAGAAAGAGAGATGGATTGAAGATTTACAATAAATTTAATTTATAAAACATTATTCTTATTATTTATATTATTAATTACTTTTAATTGACTTATGGTGATACCTTTATCGAAACGTCGTTCAGAAGACGCGTTATCACTTTGAACAAAAATCGTTATAACCGACATAATGAGGAAATAAAGAAAACAACGCGCGCATAAATTTTTTTTTAAAATTTTATACTTATTCGTTACGTAGTACAAATTTATTATATATTATATTTATTATATTTTGTACTATATATTGTATATATATATATTTGACAATATACTTGTCCAATTATATTCTCATGATTTTTGTTTTCAGTTTTAGTTAGCTGTTTCTTATTCTACAAATGGAAAAAAATTATTTAAGAAAGACGGCGAGTGTTAATTAAGGCCTCGCCCATTGACGACAGTAATGATTTCGGCAATGATAAAAGGTCCTCCTCCTTCATTATAAAGATTGTAATAAAGCAAGTTTACATGGAGGAGGGCATTTCTTTCTATAGCTGGTACATATTTATTATGATGGTTGTGATTTGTTCATGTATAATTAAAAATGTAAACAAGAGTGATACAATCAACCAACAAATATGGATCGAGATATTTTTTTTAGATTATATTATGTCGATTTCCCACCTTCCATTTGCATCGGCTATTGATTTGTTTTATTAATTAATATTTTGAAGTACACACATTTAATAAAATAAATAAATAAATATTAATTAATTTCCAATTTTCCATTATATGAATTTTTCGTGCCTTTTTTAAAAAAAAATTTTTTTTTTTAAAAAATATACATATTTATTTGATAAAAGACTTGCAATAAAAAAAAAAAAAAGATGAATTCGTTAACCTTTATTTTCAAAAATCGAGCATTACTTTTATTAGTTTCATTTTTACTTTTTATATATGTGTTATTTAATAGTAGCAATGTAGACAATGACGAGTACGATGATATTAATAGCGATAAGGTTAATACAACTAAACGACGACCTAATGATAATTTTATTGTCAAGGTAGAAAAAATTGAAAAAAATTGCGGAAATTGGAAAAATATTATGGTAACAGATTGTCTAAGATATCTTGATAAACATGAATCAGATTATATTGTACCATATAATACGATCGATTGCGGATTAAAACCACCATCGTGTATATGTGATATTGATGTTGGTGATTTTGTCTATGATAGTGGGGAGAATACGAATGTGACTGAAAGAGATGAAGGAGTGATAGCAGAAGAACTGGAACAGCAAAACTCATTGTCACCAAAAATTATGATTTTTCATGTATATTGGAAAGGAATAATAACTGATAAACTTGCATTAATGATGAAATCATTTATATATACTCAACCACTCGACTGTGCTAAACTTTATGTCTGGATAGAGAATCTCAAGGAAAATTATAAAGAAAATGCGAATATGAAATTATTAAAAAAATTTATTCCAAAACACATTGAATTGAGAAATTGGAACACCAATGAACAACTTTCATCAATTGATTTATTTAACGGATGGGATAAAATATTTTCCGGCGAGGGAACTGTTTCATTTAGTGATTTGGTTAGGTTTGCTTTGCTTTATAAATATGGTGGCATATATGTAGATGCAGACGTATTATTATTACGTGACATGCGACCATTTTATTATTCAAATTTTGAATTTTCTTATCATTGGAGCTACAAAGATGAATATAACACTGCCATACTACGATTATGGAAAAACTCAGATACTGCAGCATTGGTGATAAAAGGTGCAATGATTAATGGTTTGGATTTTCATCCGTATAGGATCAAAAATTATTTATCAGAAGGAAAAACTGATGACAGCATGGCTTTGAAAGAAGCCAATAAAAAACTTTATATGTTACCGGTCGGATTATTTGATCCTTTGCGGTTGAAGCATGATTTAAAACAAATAGATTCAATATTATCACCAAATCTTTTCAGCACGAGTCAAATGTTTGAGGCCGATTTGGTTGAAAATGAATTTCCCGATGCCAATCTAACAACTCCAACTTCACCTTTGGTGCTTCGTGATATAGATTATTTCTTTCGTGGTGCTTATGCTTATCATTGGCATAATCATTGGAAGAAGGAAATTCCATTTTCATCTTGGATTGGTGTAATACAGACGGCTTATAATCAATTTATAGAAGGAAAGAGAAGTAATTTATACAATGAATTATTGTAATTTATCATAATATATATAGATTTCTTAACATAATATTTTAAAATTACATATACAATAACAATATTAATAGATTATATAATAATAATTTCTTTTTCTTTTTCAACAATAATTTACTGTAATGTTAAGGTTTAAAATTTTCTCAGTATAATAATACAACTTGTAAATATCATTTTAAAGAAATAAAATTAACACTTTTTTAATTACGGCATTTGAACAATAATTAGCATGTGAATATAATCATTATAATTACCAATGATGATATAGTGAGGCTTGGGAATATTTGTAAATTTTAATAATCTGTTGGTAATACAATTAAAATATAAATACAAAATACATCAGTTTAAAATCATATTCACACAGGAGTTGAGCGCTTACCTGTCATCCATTCTACAGTATTATTTGCAAATGCAGGTCCTAATCTCTCGCATATCTTAATTGCAACGAGTTAAATTATTAAATGGCTGTTGACCATAGAAATTGTTTTTGTGTTTGCCAAGTATTTCACCAATATTCGGATTCTTTCTTTATATGAGTGAACGGGAGATAGTTTAAAGCCATATTGTAAAACTAGGTGGAAGCGTACCAATTCAATATTGAAATTACAACATTATCTAAATGCCTTATCATCTTTTCTCCTTATGTAATAATAGTTTTTGTGCTTGTTTAATGGTAATTAAGTTTGTTCAGAACATTCTGATTCCATTTCTACTGGTGATATACTTGAAATTTTTGAGAGAGTTTTTTTTTTGATGTTAAAATTAGTCAAGAATCAAAAGGTGCAATTGTTATATCGATTGGTACAGATATCAAACTAATTTCAACGTCAGTAAGTCAAGAACTACGTCAATATTGCATTTCTGTATTCAATAAAAGGTGGAAGGATCATGAATGTGATGCCTACCTGCCACCATATTTTTTCTCTCGAAATACAAAGGTAAATGTCATTTATTTGTTTTTCAAGGTACAGGATTATTACGCGGTCAATTTATTTGATCGCAGGAACCATATGTAAAACTTATCTCTATATACGAATGTAAAATTAGGAATTCATCTTTTCTGGTGAATTTATTATCAATTAAACTATTTAACAACCAAACTATGCCAAACTTCATATGTATCATTTTGTCAATCACAAAGAAAAGAATTAAATTATTACGGTCAAATTCTTCACTAGATGAAGTGAGTTCCAATTGTCTTGCGATCACCATAAGTATACTTGAAAGTGATAAACATGTCTTGGGAAACTTTAGATTCTGATTACTTTATCTATACAGAAATATAATAATCTGATAATTTAACCGGATGGAATAATTAATTTATTTTCCATTTTTTATAAGATAAAGTGCTGTAACAAGACAAAATAATAGGAATTCACGGTTATTATTATGATGTTCAAAAATTACCTGCAAATTTCTTAAATGAATAATAATATTTATTTTTTTGTGATAATTAATATATCTTTTGCTTTCGATGTAATTATGACCACCTTTTCTTTCGTCTTTTTGACTTGAAGCTTTTTGATAATTTTGGGTATTGATAGTAAGTCAAAAACCTAGAGTTTCTATGTATATATGGGGCATGCTGCAACAAAACCAGACAAAGTGAACATTGGTATTACCAAAAATTTTAGGGTTCAAAATTTAGTAATGTGATTATTAAAATCTCCCATTTGTTATCCTCTTAATATTATGTGATATATAGAACTATTCCTATATAAAAATAGTTAATATGAAACTTATTTATATCAGGTCTACTATGGAACCTAAGAATTACAGCACCATTAGAAGTATTTTGAAGAAGGAACAAGGTGAAAAAATTGCACCTTACATTTTCAAGATAAATGATACTCAGACACTTGAAGCTTATCTAAGAAAAGAAAGGATTACTTATGAAATTTACCAAGAAGAAAGAAAAATAATAAATGTTGGAAAAAGAAAATCTCATGATGATGCATTATTACCTAATAAAAAGCAAAAATCTTTGAAAGGAAAATAACTACCATTTTCTTGATAGTTGGAATGAATTTCAATTTATACAGAAATAGGGATGGTATATAACATGTTATAAAAGATTTGAGTGGTATATATATATACACGCTAATTATTTATCCTATTGGGGGTTTTTTTTGGTAGGACAGGCGCGAATTGATTTTTTTTTTCTTCTTGGGAAAAACAATTTATTTTTTGACAGAGTCCAAGGTGACAAAACGTGAGTGTTGTTGTTTGGTTTGGTTTGGGTCTCCTAAAGTACTATTTTTTATTTGTATTGATATAATGCGGTATCTTTTTTATTTTATAAACATTTTAATTGGAAATCAAAACGCGGAGCAGATCTTGCTGGGTAAATAATTACAAGATTTTCATTGATAATATTTTGTTTTTCGTAATCGTTAATAATATTGATAATATTATTATAAATAGGACCCCGGAAACTACATAGATAGGTTACATTATTTTTGGGTAAATCAATATGTAAAAAAATCGAAAGGTCAGAGAAAATTCTGGGTAAATTAATATATATGGTTTAAAAGGTCATGACTTTCGTAGGGTAAAGAAAAAAATAGTTATGCTAGAAAATGGGTAAAATTAAATATAAATATTTCGAATATTTTTATGTCGGTTCCATTTTGGGTAAATTATTTAGGGGATAAATTTTAAAATTACACAAATTTTTTTAAAAAAAAAAATTAGTATGTGTATATTAAACTAAAAATATTTCATGCAATTCAGAAAATGTTAGTGAATTAATTGAAATTCCTGAGAATGAAAACTGTACTATATTATTGTTTGAAGATGAAAGCAAAGATGAAAGTGAGAATGAAGATGAGGACAAGGATGAAAATGAAAATGAGAATGAAAATGAGAATGAAAATGAGAATGAATGTAGAGACAGTAATAAATCAAGGTTAATGTTAATTCCCAAATAAATATTGTAGCTGAAACAAATGATGAAACAAATAATTAAAAAAGTTAAGAAAATTGTATAGAAATAAATATTTCCTTGAGGAAATTAATTCTAAATTAGTTCAATGTATTTGTGGCAAATCAGTTAAATTGGATAGAGAATATAGAGAAAGTAATTTAATAAGTCATAATCAATATGGTAAATGTGGCATTGTTTCTGGCAAACAATTAAGTGCAAAATCTTTTTTAATCAAAGCACTATTTTTGATGATGTTGATTCCACTAGAGTTGCTTGTTGTGGTTTATGTGATGAAAAAAAGAAATTATTTAATGAAAAATTTAAAGAAAATTTCTCTTGGAAAAGATTATCTAAAGAACATGATGAATTGATTGATAATTTGAGATGTCATGCTAAATGGATATTGGATAAAATTTCTTTATGTGTTAGGAGTTTGAATTGTCAAATTTTTACAATGAATAAATCAAACTTGTAATAATTGGGAGGTTTTATGTAGATGTAACACTTTAAATAAAGCAATAAATAAAATGAACATTAATCTAACTGATTTAATTAATTTTTTAATTATTTAACTTATTATGTTCATTTATTTTAATATCATGATTTTGCTCACACTATTTTTAGTCAAATTTTTTAAATAAAAAAATTTTTTGTCATAGAAATTTTTGGGTAAATTTATTATTATAAGATTAGAGAGTTATTACCAACTTGGGTAAATCTATATAAAAAATATTGGTAAACTCATTAGTAAATTTTGAAAATTTTAGGGTAACCTATCTATGTAGTTTCCGGGGTCCTTTATAAATATTATAATACAAGATATCAAGGCAGCACACCATTTAAAAAGAGACATTTCAAATATGCAATGTTTGATTATCGGAAATTAGCAGGCGTTGAAGCACGCATGCTATCTTGAACACTTTACAGTCATTCTCTCACCTTCCTCGTGTACACAAGGCTAATCTGACTACGCTGCCCCAATGATACAATGATGCAACTGAATTCCAGGGGGGAGCCCAAGGCCCTGGAGTTTACCGAGACTGCACCAATCGTCAATGACGCTTTCACTAATCTTCCCAGACCAGAGATGGCTGCTGTCATGTTGGATGAAAAGTCGACTGCAACGATCCTGCCTCTAGGGTAAGGATGGCTCTGTGACCAAGATGTTGCAACTCTGGAGGAATATTACGAGAATCTGCAGCTCATTCAAGCACATGGGGTCGCAATTCAGAGCAGGGTTGGTGGCCCTGAAATTGCATTCGGACTCTGATGTTAAGAGGAAAGTTGTAAAATAATGTTTGTTTTGTATAATCATTTTCATAAATGCTCTGTTTCTCTGATACTAACTAACCAATTTATAATTTTGGGTAGGGGTTTTTGCCCAATAATTTCTCTGCTCTGTAGGTTAAAATTATTGCACAATTATATACATCTTTGTCAGCAATATGGCCAACAAGAAAAGGCCATAAAAATGGTTCGGATTTTGTTTGGTATGTTTCATAAAAATTAATCATTTTCCCAATTTTTTGTTTTTCTTTAATTTTTATTTGACCAACTGAATTTGTTATTTTAGTAAATGGGGGTAGGGTTGTTGGTGAGTAGGCATGCCACCGACAAGACAGGGGATGCCTTTGGGATATACCAAACTCATAGAAAGGGATCTTTTGTCCAGACTTAGGGTCACATAGATGTTAAGCACAGAAAATGTACACTATCATGTATGTTTTTTTTCAACAAAATAAACATTTAAATAATTAATTGTTAAATATTAATACTTTTCTTTTCATAAAAATTACAGCAACCCAGGACTCAAAACTCTGAATTCAGGGAAAATCCAAGGCAACAACCCAGATCGCAACCTTCTGGGCTGCTGAATTTTCAAACCAGTTAAACCAGTCGCAGACACCAACTTTATTCTACAGGGGTATAACACAAAGCAATAATCACACATCACACAAATACTGATATTCATGCCCATATGGTGATGTCCAGCCTGGTCTGAGGGGAGATAAGGAAAAGTTTTGTCCAAAGCCTTCCAGCATGTGATGGACTTTACCCATAGGAAAAAATCCCATGGTTATAAAGGGTAATTGCATGTTTGTGATAGGAAAATTCAATTAAATCTGACACCTGCAATCAACATCAGATTTATTATTCATGAGCAACCATAATTGATAATCAGGAAAAGTAATTTATTATTGTGAATCCCAGAGATTTTAATAATCACATTATTAAATTTTGAACCCTAAAATTTTTGGTAATACCAATGTTCACTTTGTCTGGTTTTGTTGCAGCATGCCCATATGATCTACTTATTATATGACACAATAATAGTGACGTAATAATCATCGACATTTTCGAATATATTAATATTAATTAATAATTAATATACTACTAATACTAATATTAATATTTGTTGTAATATTTATTATTTATTAAAAATTTTTTTTAATTTTTGTCGTTTTAAATTAATTAAAAATCTTTCCTTGAACAAATTCATATACATATATATATAGATCAGTAGAATCAATCTTTTTTTTACATTTGATTGAAAAAAATGGCCGTCGACAGCAGTAGTTCTCGTAACTCGCCAGATTTTAAACAAGAAGAAGAATCAATGCAAGAGTATGATGCATTAAAAGATAACAATTCAGCACATGATGAAGGGTATAGTATTCAACTTTCAATTCATCATTAGGTTTTTTTTTGTTTTCCCATAAAGATTTCTTTTTGTTTTGCAATACAAAAAAACAAGACAATTATAATAGCATATTGCATAGCAAGCAAAGCTAAGATAGATGTAATATAAAATCAAATAGTATAATTAAGTAATTAAATTGTATAGTAAGTTATACAGTAGTAAGAGATGAGGAATTGTTGAAAAGTAGCAATGAGATGTTGTTTCCTATATCTTATTAATTAGGAAGTTTAGAATTATGTATGAATATGAGAGAGAGAATATGAGAGAGAGAAATAGAAGAAAGTAGAAACAAAAGAATATTCTTTAATGGAAAACAAGAAAAAAATTTTGAAATATAATTTATTTTTATGTGGTTAGGTTTACTTTTTATTTTATAGTTTATTAAGATAAAATACAACTAATAGGTTTTTTACAATTCTTTCTTTTTTAATTATATATATACACACCTATCATACATACATACAATTATAATATAATGAATAAATATATATAATATAAATATAAATATAATCAATATCTGCTCCTTAATCGTATCAATATTGAATACTGTAGAAAAATGTTCATAGGCGGTCTTAATTGGGAAACAACAGATGGTAAGATTCTTGTATTTAGCATTAAATAAATATAATAATAAAATATATATAGCACTTTTAAATTATCTTTACATTTCCCTGTCTATCTCTCTCTTCATAAATTCTCTCTCTCATATATATATATATTATTAAATATTAAATATTAGTCAATAAATTAGATTGCTCATTATTAGCTAACGTTGATCTATGTTGTTATTTAGTTAATATAATATAAAGAGAGAAATTTACGAATATCTTTTTTTCTAATACATGATTAATAAAAATATCTAATAAAATTCTATTGTGTTTTATTATAACGATAATTATAATAATAATAGAGAGCCTTAAATCATATTTCTCACAATTTGGAGAAATCAAAGACTGTGTTGTTATGAGAGATCAGAATACGATGAGATCTCGCGGATTTGGTTTTCTGACTTTTATAGATCCTTCTAATGTTGATAAAGTGCTGGCAACTGATCATCAATTAGATGGAAAACTTGTAAGTAAATTTTTATTAAAAATGAAAATTAATTAATCATCATTCATTATAATAATATTACAAAATATAATAATCAATTAAAAAATCAGATTGATCCAAAACGAGCAATCCCTCGTGAAGAACAAGAAAAAACAGAAAAAATATTTGTAGGTGGAATAGCACCTGAAGTGACTGAAGAAGAGTTTAAAGAATATTTTTCACAATTTGGGGTTGTCAAAGATGCAACGTTGATGGTTGATCGTGATACTGGTAGACCTCGAGGATTTGGTTTCATTACTTTTGAATCATCAGAGCCTGTTGAAAAAGCAATGGCTGCTAGAACTGATCTAAGCCTTCAAAATAAGATGGTATATCAAGATTAAATTTTATTATATTTATAATATTATTTTATTATTTATCTTGTATTTATTTATTTTTTACTAACAAATTATTCTATAACATACATATATTCTCAATCACCCAAATATAGGTCGAGGTGAAAAGAGCTATGCCAAAGCATAAATCACAAAGAGTTAACATTTATGGAGGAGCGCCTTCAGTAGGTAATGCTATATCATCTGGCAATGGACCTATGAATGGTAGATATGGTTCATCCTATGGAATCGGTAAAGATGGTGGCTCAGCTGGATATTCTGGAATGGGTGGATACAATTCCGGTTCAATTAATGGTAGATATGGCTCATCTTACGGAATGGGTGGCGGTGGTAAAGACGGGGGCTCGGCTGGATATTCTGGAATGAGTGGATACAATTCCGGTTCAATCAATGGTAGATATGGTTCTCCTTACGGAATGAGCGGTGGCGGTAAAGATGGAGGCGGCTCAACTGGGTATTCTGGAATGGGTGGATACAATTCCGGTTCATACCCTGGTAGTTATAGTGCATATAATAATTATCCAAATTATGGTTATCCCAATTCTTATCCCGACAGTTATCACCCATATAATGCAATGACACATGCATATTATTCTTCAAGGTAGATGAATTTCTTTTGATATTAATTGCATTATTATCTAAATGTTCAACTTTCTAATAATTAATCTACACGTGATTTAATGATAGATATGGTGGATATAATAATAATTATGGAGGAGGTAGTAGTGGATATAGAGGATCAGGTAGTCGAGGAGGCGGTAGTGGTGGTGGAGCAGGAATGAATGCTGCAGGATCAGGAGAACCAATATACAGTAGACATTCAGTTCGTGGCCAACATAATTATCATCCATATGCACGATAAAAATATATGTATTTCTTTAGGTAAGAAAATATATATATTTGTATTATGTATATAATTTTTGATAATTGAATATAATAATTTATTTAGCATTTAATTAGTTACTACTATTATCAACATCAACATCAACATTACCACCACCACCACCACCTTTATTATTACATCAATATTATAACTATTATTATTATTATTATTATTATTATTTTTAATATATATTATTATTTATTATTATTATAAAATCCTAAATATTGGATTAGCAAATTAGTAAATAAATTTAATTTTTATATTTTAGTAAAATAGTTTGTATAATATTACTAACATCATTACTAATATCATTTATCACTAATATTAATTTATTAATTTATTATTTAATTATTTAATTATTATTCTTATTGGGGAAGAATCTTAAAATAAATCCATTCATATACTACATAATATAAATACTATACATTACCATAGTATCATTTATTAATTTAATATTATCAAATAATTTATTTATTAGCATTAATCTTTAACTAATTAATATATTAATTACATACTATAGAGGAGCATATTCAATAAAATAATTTATCATGTGCTAAAAATAATAATCAATTAATATATTTTTTACCAATTAATAAAGTTTATTATTATAGAATAATAATAGATTAATAGAGTTTGTAATGATAATTATTACTAGACAAAATAAAATTCCATTAGAAATATAATTTTTTTCTAATTTTTTCCACATTTTCCATCCGAAGTTACTATTCTTATCCCTCATTTTTGATAAAGTACATTTGAATTAATAAAATAAATTTTTGTGTAAATGTTACAATAAGTGAAAGAATTGGAAATCCACATTCGTAAAGTCTATTTACAAAGAATATCAATGAATTCATTTATTTATTTACAATATTACATATGTCAATCAATCATTTCAATCATTCATAAAATTACTCATTGATTGAATCATTGTTTCTACCTATTCCTTTTGCGCATCTACTCCATTCCCAATAATCCAACTCTAAGCAATAGATGTTTTGTGCTTTGGTTGATTCCTTGACTCCATGTAGTTATGTTAACATTTATTAAAATATTTTCAGTTATCATTATTATAAACAAAGAGGGCATTATCTCCAAATATTATTGTAACATACTTTAAATTTTAACCATTGTTTATTGTCCAAAAAAATTATAATATTGTTCCCATTATTCATTAACATTATTAAATATACCTTTTCGTAGAGAACATTACATTTTCTGTTTTTGATGTATTTTCAAATATGTTTACTAATTTTATCTCCAAGCGTTTTAAAAATATTACAAGTTTAAGCGTGTTTTTTAATTAAGTTAATTAACCAAAATATATATCTACTAATACCTTTCGAGAACCGTCATTTTGCCGATCTGATAATCCAATTTTTTAAATTAAATTTACTTTGTTTCTCAAGGTCTTATATACTAAAATTTGCCATTGGTTGTTGAAATGCTATGCCCTATCCTTCGTGTAGGGTATATATAACTGTTGGTTAATTTCTTGAAAAGCCAAATGAATAAATAGAGGAGAGATTATAGTAACCAACCAGTGTTTTCTCATATTTTTCATTTCTTGAAGTGGGTTGTAATTGTTGCTTTAGTAATTAGCACTAGGTCTTAAAATCTTCATATCTACATATATATGTTCAAAGTAGAAGCTCGTGATCAATTTCTTCCATTCATTATTTTTTTATATGAAGATTAATTTCACCAAAAATTGGTAACTAACTGAATAATTGAATAAATTTTTAATAATACATATTTAACTATATTTGTAAGGAAATTCCATGAATGCGGCAATATCAAAAAAAATACTTTTTTTTACAAAATCGACTTTTTTTTTATATATATATATAATTTATAATTTTTACAATTAAATTATTTTCACAGTTTAAAATATTCACAATTTGATTTACTCTTTCAATTAAGAGGTAAATTAATGTCTCAGACAAATAATAATAGTTGTGGAAATGCAGGTCCTTCGCCAGGGTGTAATAGTAGTAATGGCATACTTGGTTCTACCAGTAATTTTAATGATAATAAAACTTCAATAGTCAACACGACTGTTTCTTCTTCTCCACAATCTTCAACCAATATGGTATTTAATATAATTTAATATAATTATATATACATGATAATGTTAGAATTCTAAATTAAATATTTCATATTAATCATTTGTTTTTTTTTAGACAAGTGGCACTTGCATGTGTTGTTGCAGGTAAAAAAATCTATGATTTTGATGATTTATAAAAATTTTTACATTTAAATATCTAAATTAACAAATTAATTAAACTTTTTTGAATATTTGATTTCAAGTAATCTTCGGTTTCCATGTTCAGTAAAATGTTTTCGATGTACTGTATGTCAAACAATAAACGATTTAGAACCGTTAAAACCGCGTAGTATGTATTTATATGAGAAAATGAGAGAAAGCGAAAGAAATAAATTTTTTTTTGATCAATCAACTTTGAAAAACATCCAATTAAAAAAACTTTCTTTTTTTAAAAAAGCTGAAACAGCTACAACACCGCCATTGACACTTGATTATCTAAAGAATATTATTAGTAAATGTAAAAATAACAATAGTAGTAGTAGTAATAATAATAATAATGATAGTGAGCGTGGCAAATCTACAAATTTTGAATTTTTAAATCAGACAATACAGAACGTTTTTAGTAATTGGTATATATTAAATAATAGTTTTCCAAATGTAAGATCATATATATCTTTTATTTTTTCTTTAAATTCATTGTATGCAAGAAAAAAATTAACTAATAATAATAAATATATCAAGAATCAACCCGTTAGTTTAGAAAATTGTGGAGTAGCATTGGATGATGTTAGACAAGCATATATAATCTTATTAGAATTGGTAATATTATTTAATTATTTATTCATAAATTAGAAAGTTTATATAAAAGAATCAAGTAAATTGACAAATCCCCTTTTTTTTTAATTCTTAGCCTGTGTCTGTGATAAGAGCTATGATGCAATCAATCGAAAATTTATTGAAAAGACCTGGGAGGTAAAAGAAAAATTCTGTAATGTTTGTAAGGAATTATATTTGTAAGAAATATTTGATGTAAAAAAAATAATATTAATTTCTAATTTAATTTATTTTCTGTTTTATATTATTTCTGAAAAGGATTTTAAAAACATGTGAAGATATAAAATTTCTGATGATAATATTAGAGGTATTAATATTATATATTTGTGTATTTATATTACACTAATAATTAAAAAATGTTCTTTTTTTCAAATATAGAATACATTGTTGTCACAACATAAATTTGCTCAGGAATCTCAAAGACATCATAATATAGTTGAAAGAATTTTTGGTTTAATTTCAAATCTAAGTGTGGAACTTCGTCATTATTTGCTTAGTTGGTTTTCAGGGTTAGCTATATATAGTATAATAATAATAAATAAATATATATATATAATCGTAGTAGTAAATAATAATATTTTAATTAACTTTTTTTAAAAAAATTATTTCAAGACTTCCAACAAATATTTTTAGGAAACGCATTGAACTGGTTAATTCATTTATAAGTTATCGATTGGCAATTCATTGTACCACCAATCAATATTCGCCAGATATATATGATTCAAAGGGAAAAATTAATATTACATCAAGATTAATATATGAACCAGACTGGGGAATTAATGCTGCAGCACAAGTAATGGAATTACTATGTACGTATTTATTTGTATATATGTGAGTGTGTGATATATATTATATATTGATATATATTTAATATCTTAAAATTTCCAAATAATTTCTTGCCAATTTTTTCTACCCACCTATTAATAATTTACATTTTGATAATCAATAGTTGCAGCAAATATGCAAAAAAGAAAAGTCTCTTTATCTGAATTTTATAATACAATGGTTGATTGTGTGGATAAAATATCAGATTTTGATATATGGAAGCAAAAAACAGGGTTGGTTAATTTATTGGTTAGTTATAAAATAATCAATAATTATGATAATTTTATAACTAATAATATCTATTATTTTGATAGAAAATTTACATTTTGTAGTTTCCCATTCCTGATAAGTCTTGGTGGAAAGATGCAAATTTTAGAATTTGATGCGCAAAGACAAATGGAAACAAAAGCTAGAGTAATTAAAAATCAAATTAATTGGTCAATTAATAAAAATCTTATATAAAGCTTCGCGCAAGCAGGCTCGCAAGCCAAATAACTTGACAAGCTCGCAAGCCGGACAAGTTATCTGGCTCGCAAGTTGGCCTGCGAGTAGCTTTAGAGACAACAACAACAATAATAATTTTTTTCTCTAAAAATAAAACATTTATATATAGGAAGCATTTTTTACATTTCTTTATCAAAAACGTACATTCAAATCAGCATTAGAGTTAAAGATTCGGAGAGATAATATAATCCAGGATTCATTAAATCAAATATCAGAGAATGTAATTGATTTAAAGAAATCATTAAGAATTGTATTTATAGGTGAAGATGGTGTAGATGGTGGCGGGCTAAGAAAAGAATGGTTTCTATTATTAATAAGACGTTTGTTTGATCCACAATACGGTGAGAAGAAAATAAATATAATTAATATTGATATTTTTTGAATTTTAAATATTTATTTATTTATATATTTATTCTCTCCCTCCCCAAATAAATAAATAAACGAAGGAATGTTTACGTGGGATGAAGATTCGAAATATTGTTGGTTTAATCCAGCAAGTTTTGAAAATAGCGATCAATATTATCTCGTTGGTGTAATTGTCGGACTCGCAATTTATAATTCAACTATATTAGATGTGCACTTTCCTTTAGCATGTTATAAGAAATTATTTAATGAACGAGTGGGATTAGAAGATTTAAAAGTTTTCAAGCCAGTATGTTGTTGATATTATTAATCTTTGATCATTTGGATATTTATATTAATATAATAATTATGAATAATTATTTAAATGTTTATTTTGTTGAAAAAAAACATACATGATAGTGTACATTTTCTGTGCTTAACATCTATGTGACCCTAAGTCTGGACAAAAGATCCCTTTCTATGAGTTTGGTATATCCCAAAGGCATCCCCTGTCTTGTCGGTGGCATGCCTACTCACCAACAACCCTACCCCCATTTACTAAAATAACAAATTCAGTTGGTCAAATAAAAATTAAAGAAAAACAAAAAATTGGGAAAATGATTAATTTTTATGAAACATACCAAACAAAATCCGAACCATTTTTATGGCCTTTTCTTGTTGGCCATATTGCTGACAAAGATGTATATAATTGTGCAATAATTTTAACCTACAGAGCAGAGAAATTATTGGGCAAAAACCCCTACCCAAAATTATAAATTGGTTAGTTAGTATCAGAGAAACAGAGCATTTATGAAAATGATTATACAAAACAAACATTATTTTACAACTTTCCTCTTAACATCAGAGTCCGAATGCAATTTCAGGGCCACCAACCCTGCTCTGAATTGCGACCCCATGTGCTTGAATGAGCTGCAGATTCTCGTAATATTCCTCCAGAGTTGCAACATCTTGGTCACAGAGCCATCCTTACCCTAGAGGCAGGATCGTTGCAGTCGACTTTTCATCCAACATGACAGCAGCCATCTCTGGTCTGGGAAGATTAGTGAAAGCGTCATTGACGATTGGTGCAGTCTCGGTAAACTCCAGGGCCTTGGGCTCCCCCCTGGAATTCAGTTGCATCATTGTATCATTGGGGCAGCGTAGTCAGATTAGCCTTGTGTACACGAGGAAGGTGAGAGAATGACTGTAAAGTGTTCAAGATAGCATGCGTGCTTCAACGCCTGCTAATTTCCGATAATCAAACATTGCATATTTGAAATGTCTCTTTTTAAATGGTGTGCTGCCTTGATATCTTGTATTATAATATTTATAAAGGACCCCGGAAACTACATAGATAGGTTACCCTAAAATTTTCAAAATTTACTAATGAGTTTACCAATATTTTTTATATAGATTTACCCAAGTTGGTAATAACTCTCTAATCTTATAATAATAAATTTACCCAAAAATTTCTATGACAAAAAATTTTTTTATTTAAAAAATTTGACTAAAAATAGTGTGAGCAAAATCATGATATTAAAATAAATG